AGTCTGCTCCTGATTCTATGAATCTGCTTCTGTTTTATTTACATTATTTTATAGGTTCCACATATAAATGAAATGGTATGGTATTTGTCTTTGTCTGACTTATTTCACTTAGCATAGTACTCTCTAGGTCCATCCACGTTATTGCAAATGTAAGGCCACCTTCGTGTAGGTGTCCCCCTGCCTGTCTTCTACATGGGAACTCAAAGCCACAAATGTGTTAGTCCAACCACAAGGAAATGTGAGATTTGCAAGCTCTTCAGGACTACAGCTCTAGTGAATACTGATTTATTTATTCACTTTTATTAATCGCTACCATTTTATTGTGATCTTACAATGGCCACTATTAAGCACTTTACATACAGTTTCTGTTCCACTCTTATGACAGCTGTGTTAGGTAGGTCGTTTTATTGCCCCATTTTACAGGTGAGGAAAACTGAGGGTTTGAATGGCTAATTTTCCAAGGGCACACAGCTAGTGAATAAAACTCTGCTCCTTTGCCCATTGGGGAAGGTCTTTATGTAACCAACAGATTTCCCTTTCTGGAATTAGTGTGTGTTAGTGTGTGTCAGATGTGAACTTGAAAGACTCAACATGTGATGGATGGACAACCCTACACACAGACACACACACACACAGTCCCCAGCCTTTACCTGACAAGCTCCTGCCCCCACCTCCCTTTGGCAGGGCAAAGCACTTTTGAGCACACACAATTAGGGGTGGGAGGGAACGTCGCTGCGAGCTTACAGAGTGTTTGTGGCCATTACACCTCCCTCGGGGCTACTAGGGAGCATGAACTAATTGTATTAACAAGTGACATCTGGAATTTATTCAATTTTACACGAATCCTGTGTTGTTTATTAATGAACCTGGGATCTCAGCTGTTTAACAAAGAGACCCTGCCCATGGGTTTGCCAGCTCTGGCTAGAGCAGTGCCGTGGGTCCTGTCCATTGCTGCTCAGCTCCCCCCAGGGAGGCTTGAGGGTCCCTACCCTAGGTCACCAGACAGGAGGGACTGGGAAAGGCCCTACATTGTCCTTCCACAAATTGGATATAGCTGCGTGGGATTGGAAAGAGGGGTCCTGCCAAGGTCCTGGGGTCGCTGTGTTTGGCTCCACATGGGGTCAGGTTGGAGGGAGAGCTATTCTGTGCAGCTCAGGATGGCTTGGGATGGGGTGCTTTTTATCCTGCTCAGAATATAAAATATGAAACCAGCCGCCCATCTCTGCAAACAGACTGCAGAAACAGAGTTATACCAGCAATTAGGCAACCCAAGCCCAGTTGATAAATAACATCTATTTCATAATAAAGAAAAGAAGGACAGAGACCTGCTTTTGAGAAAGAAACAGAAAAGGCAGGGCCCAAAGACCTTGAAACCATTAAGAGGCAATGGGGCCCAGGCCACCGTGGTTTCAGGTTCCTCCTCGCTACATAGATAAATGGCCAGCGGAAACATTATCCAAGCAGTTTCACATCAAAGGCTAAGTGGCAAGCTGGTCTTCCTTTTAATCTGGCCAATAACCAAGTGAGAATCAGACGTGTACGTGTTTAGGGAGAGGGCTTCAGGCTGTTCCAGAGTGGACTCTCCCATGCCCATTCCCAGCTGGTCTCCACGGAGGAGCACTCGCTGTGTAAGACACGCAGGGTGGCACCCACATCCAGAGCTTTCGGGTCTTGTAAGCACCCTACAGAGCGGCTGAACAGTGTGTGAATACACAGGACCGAAGCCTGGGGGACATCGGAGCTGCACGCATCTCCCTTGCCCCTAGCTGGCTGGAGGAATTCCCATGGGGTCCACCTGCCTAGAAACCCACAGGAAACCTACCCAGGAGGGTCAGGGTCTACCCAAGGGCCTCGAAGCTGGGGGAGAAATGATGAATTCTCATGACCTGCTGACTTATCGGCAAAGCAATGGAATCACGTTGTTTTTACTCTCTGTAGTTGTCTAAAGTTATGTGTCTCAGAAATGCATCAGCCATGACGTGGATGAATCCTCACTCCGCTTTGGGAGGCAGGCAGGGCAGGAGCGATCACCATGATCCCACGGAGGCAGGGGAGGCCCATGGAAGCGAAGCCACTCACCCAAAGACACCAGCTTGTCATGGCCGATTCGGGGCCTCAAGGGGGGGCTTCTGATCACTTGTCCAACCTCTGAGGCAGCGTGCTCTTCACCCTGCCTTGTCACTAGTCAGCTCCGGCTAAAGAGGCAGCCCATAGGGCAGGAAGAAAGTCTGTGTGGAGATTTTCCCCAGCAGTCTCGCTCTCTCCTCTTTACACCTTTCGCAATTCTACTCACACGTTGACACTATTCCAAGGTCAGTTTCCTCCTGCCTGACCTCAGCCAGCTAAGCTAGTCCAGCTCCAGTTTCTTCTAACTCGATGTGACATGTACTAGTTGTGGGTTCACGTCCTCTTTCCATGGGGTCTGAGGGGGGACTGGCTTATTGGTAGAGTCTGCCCTATGGCTCGGGGAGGCCTGGTGGCTGCAAGGCTGTTGCTGAGCGCAGGCCTGTGAAAGGCCCCCTCGCTCACAGCATAAAGCACACACATGGCAGGGGTTGCTTAAGCCTCCTCAGCCCACAGACCCTGCAGTCTCTACTTCATAAAGAAAGAGAGAAAGTCAAGGTCTCCTAGTGTGAGGTCTCCTCAAATCACCCTCATCCTCTACCCTCTTTGCAGCCTGCCTTCTTGAGCTCTCCCTTGGGTTTTGGTGGGAGGGGGGGGGGCACACCTGGTACAATCTCCTCCTACTTCTTTCACTACAGCTTCTGTTTGTTTTACTCAGCTTCTCGCTGGCCCTGGTTTTTGTTGTTGCTGTTGTTTTCTTGTTTTTTGTTAATCCTCACCTGAGGATATTTTCCCCATTGATTTTTTAGGTAGAGAGAGAGTGGAAGAGAGGGAGGGAGGGAAGGAGGTAGAGAGAGAGAGAGAGAGAGAGAGAGAAACATTGATGTGAGACCATGGATTGGTTGCCTCCCACATCTGCCCTGATGGGGCCGGGAAATGAACCTACAACACAGGAACCTGCCCTTGACTGGGAATTTAACCCTTAACCCTTCAGTGCATAGGCTAGCACTCTAACCACTGGACCACCAGCCAGTGCCTGGTTTTGTTTTTATTCCTGCATTCAGAGCCATCACTTTTATGTTCATGCAGTAGTCGGATCACCTGAGCCAGGTTCTGATCCCCTGTTTCTAAATGCCTGCTGGAGATTCCTGCCTGGATACCTCTTTGTCATCCCAAAATTTCCATGTCCAAAGCCTGATAGCAAGACTCTCTTCCCAAAACTTTGTTCCACGTTTCAACCTCTGGGACAGTGGTGCTGCCATTTCCTTACTCAGCTGGGCTTGAAAGCTTCCTCGTCTTCTTTTCATCTTTCATACTCATTCATCAGGCTCTGGTGAGTGATACCCTGGTTTGTTTCCTTCCGCTCCATCCCCATGACCAAGCAAGCGTGACACCAAGCTCATTCTTACTCAGTCTGTGTCTCCTCCCCTCCGCTCTGCTCCACAACTGCATGCTCTGCCCACTGCCTCGTCACTTCCCGCTCCAAAACAGCTGGAGATGCCTGCTCTCTGGGACATGACCTCGGGCAGTGGCTGCCCCAGGCCCTCCGCAAGCCGACCACTGCCAGCGCGCCAGACCCGCTCTGGCCCTTCGTCGCTCACGGTCACACAAGGGTGCCTTGGCCTCGCCTCTGCAGCTTTGCCGCTTTCTTTGACCAGAAATTCCTTCCTCTTGCTTCCTGGCCTATTGGGATTACGTCCTGCCAGTTCAAAATCCACCTCTTCTACAACTTCTCTTTAACTGTCCTCTTTTCTTGGGTGCCTTCCTGTTCTCCCACACAGTCCAGTGGCTTCTGTTTCTTTGTTTTTTAGTCCCTGCATTATAATATGTTTGTCCTATATTAACTAAAGTGTCATGAAAAAGAATGAAACTGTCGATATGAATGCACTGAGGGTGTTTTGGAGGAAAAGGTACAGTGGAAATCGCAGGTGTTAACAATAAGGGGGGAAAGACCATAACTATGTGGTGCTGATGACAAGTGACTGATGAGTGTCTGTTTTGTTAATGACATCTGTGATGCCGCCTGCATTCGCCTTTATGTCCGCATCATAAAGAGGAAGTGTGAGGAATGCTATGCTTTGAAGAACAAAGTATGTCTGTCTTCTAATTCCTGCTGCAAATAAGCTCTACACAGGCACCTGCCCAGAGGACTTCAATGCTTAATCTATGCCCAATGCCTTTTCGTTTTCTTCCCGAGCATGAGGGAGACTAGCAGGGAGCCTGCCTCTTATATCGAGTTCAGCCCGGCACCGGGACTGCGCTCTCGCCCACACCACTGGCTCCCCTGAGGGACGAGACCCAGCAGAGAGAGCGCCGAATCCCAGCCACAGTCACCACTTTCTGTGTGTGTCTCACTAGACCTGGACTTGGGTGGGGATTGGAAGGAGGGGATGTGCAGGTCTAAAAGGGTGGACGCCACCCCCCAAAAGCTCAACTCTGAGGACACAGACAGACAAACAAGCTGTAGGTGGTGGCACAGTCATCTGACAGCTTCCTTTTACAGCTGCAAAATGTTGCATCGGGCAGTCAGCCTCGACTTCATCTGGCTTCGGTAAATACAAATGCAGCCACGCTACGTGCCATCAGCAACGTGCGCTCTCACCACGTAGCCACGATTGTGAGAACAGGGCCCCCAAACTCCTCCGCATTTAGCTTTCACGGAGGCTATTTTGAATGAAAATTGTTATTTCACGTGTTTCATAGATGGTTATACGTGTTTGCCACCTAAAACCGTACGCGCACCCAGATTCTAAACCGTGTCAGAAAACTAGGGTGTTGTCTGCCCTGCCTCGTCCTGTAAGAACAACCGCTCCGCCCCCCGCCCCGGGCTTCTGCTCCGTCACCAGAGAGCGGCACAGCTGGGCGCCCAGCGCTGGGAGAAGGATGCACGTGTGCTTTGTGGGACGCAGGCTTATAAACACAGCCAGAGCCCTGAGGAGTACACAATATAAATGCTTTATTGCTAGCACAGAGGTTTCTTCTTAAGTAAATTAAAAGAAATAAATCTTCATTTTCACATTCTATATTGCAGTTCGAAGGTAACTAGCTGGTTAATGGGTACGTTCACTTGGACACACGCTATAAGGGGAGAGCATGACATTCACACGGAGGATCAGACACGTGGCATCCCTCAAGGCATCGGGGCGCGGAATGCACTGTCGTAGGTAAGTAACAGCAAGTAGGGATTTCTTTAAAACAGGAGCAGACAGGGCTAGAAAGGGGACCCGGCGTGGTTAGAAAGCAGGAACAGTTAAATACAGAAGGCTATCTATGTGTTGCCCACATTCCATATACTCCAGGTTATGTCTGGTACTTTTAAATAAATGACCTTCCTCTAGGTTAGAGCTGGGGTTGGATTTGGCAGCTGGAAGGAGGGACGCAGGGAAGGAAGCTGACACTGCTCACATCGGGGAGGAGTGCGTGGCTGGGAGGAAGGGGGCCAGCCTGCTTCTCACCCCCCTCGGGAGGCCGGGAGGCAGGAACAGTCCGTGGAGGGGCCGCTGCGTGTGGCAGAGGAGCTCTGGTGCAGCGTGGTGACGGGGGCACCCTGGAACGGTGCCAATGGGAAGGAAAACCGCCAGGCTTGGCCAGATTCTCCAAGGTTCCTGCCAGTGGGATTGGGGCATTTTAAGGCATGAGAGGCCAAAATAACACCCATAGCACGGCGGGGAGCCGCTGGTGGTGCAGTGGGGGCTGGGGTGCAGGAGAAGCTATTGATCCAACTGCAGAGGTAACCCACTTAGTTAAGAGTTGTCAAGCGGTGTTGGAAACAAAATCATTTCTGCAAGGCACCCAGCATTTCTCCAAATGCTCGAGCCTACTCAGATTGCTTTGGTTGACTTTAAAGATAAACTTTGGAAAAGATCTTATTAATCTATGAGAACAACCCACCCCCTGCCTTATTCTAGAATAACCAAGGAATCAAACGCAGGTGCGCACCCCTCCCCCAGACATGCCCACACTCAGAAGCTGGGAACTACACACGGTCTCTGCCTCCCCACTTCCTGGTCCTTCCCTCGTGGTACCGGTGGACGTGAGAAATCCAGGCTGGGTCTGGAAAATGCCCACTTCCTCCCTCCTGCCTAGCATATCTGCAGTGTACCAGCTTCTGGCATTGTCAGTCTGGCCTGGCTCTCACTAAAGCCATTTCAATATTTTGCTTTGAAGAAATGGATAACATGAAACGGTAATTTGGCTGCAAAACCTTGGAAAATTGTTCCCGGCCCAAACATCTGCCCCAAATGAGCTCAGCTGAGCTCTCCTCGGAGGAGCAGGGGCAGGGGAGGAGCAGGGAGCGCCTGGACCGGGAAAGGAAGATGGCAGGAAGGCTGCCTTTCCGTAGGAGGAAGGGTTTTGTGACAGAAGGCATCCAATAACACACTCCTTATGCAGCCCCACCTCAGAGAGATCCTGGGTGTGCCGACAGTCACCCCTCTGTCCTTCATCCCGCCCTCCCCAATATTTGGTATCGTTAGGTGATCCCCTACAGAGTGCCAAGAAACTGCCCAGCTGGCTTGCTTTAGTAATGCAGTGACTGGCCTGGCCTGTGTGTGATCATTTTCATCTTTAAATAAGGACCGAGTATCAGCTTTGGATTCCTGAGAGCTGGGCCCCTCAGGGAAAGCAGAGAGGGGGGTCGTGCAGGCGGCCTTCACCTTCCTCTGGGCCTCCTTAGGAATTCTTCTGGGGGATCTTGACTGTCACAGTCTTCACTTCGGAGTACTCTCGCAGGCCGAATTCTCCCCTGGAAACAGAAAGGGGCAGTGTCAGCCTCCAGGCCCGGCAGCCCCCCCGGAGAGGCCAGAGTCCTGGGGAGGTGCAGCTTGTCACCTGCTACCAGCAGGCCCTGGGGTTCCTGTAGGAATTCCTAATGACGCCCAGCCCCATGTGCGGGCTGGGGAAGCCGTTGCCTATGAGCAGTCACCGTTTCTTACAGGTAAAGGATGATCTGTCTTCACAGTATTACACACAAAGGCCACACGTCCCAACTATTCAGAGAAACAGGCCAGAGGTGCGCCATGGCCAGCAGTCACCAGAGGCCCTGGCTGTGCGCCTGGCTGGGCACCACGGTCAGCGGCAGGCCTTTGTGTCTAATACCTGGGCTGTTTCTACCTCAGGGGCACTGGCTCCTCAGGACCATGGCGAGCTTTTCTCTTCAAATCCCGCTCCTGCCACTGGGCCCAGGATGTGTCTGTGCTCCGATCGCTCTCCCAGAGAGCGGGTCCACTCTAACCGGGAGGAGACCAGGAGATCCCCAGGCTAAGGGCCTCTGGGTTTGGGATTCTAAATCCCTTCTCATTGGCTCTTAGATCTAATACATGGAAATAACCCCCAATGCCTATCACAGCAGAGCACAAATCACTGAAATGCCTCAAAACATCATCCTGAATAAACAATGTCCGCAGCCCTCACAGCCATCAAAATAACTGACTGAAAATGACTTGGGAGCATTGGAGATCTTGCTCCTTGGCAAGTAAACTCTTATGAAAAATGTTTTAAAAGAAGGGAAGTGGCAGTAAGCTGTCATTTCTCCCCCGCCCCCCTCCGCCCAGGCCCCAGAATCTCCTTCAGCCACTTTCCTTCCTGGCTCACAGGGACCTCTGGGATCTTGGTTATAGGTCAAGGACTGTCATTCATCTGGGGAGCAAACATAACTGAGCTATGACTATGGGCAGCACTGCACTGGGTTGGGTGAAGGAGAAACTAAATAACGGCTCCAGCTTCTGAGGAGCGTGCGGTGGCTGGGCTGAGAGGAGAGTGGGCGCTGGCCGCCCTCCCCAGCCCTCTGGACACTGTCCACTGCTCTCAGGCTGCTGGGGTGGAGTGAAGCCTTGTGGCTACCATGCAATTTGTCTTCACTTTTCTTCTCTAGCCCCTCCCATTCTTACCTCTTTTTAATTGTCTTTTTTTTCTTTTCTTGATTTCACTGTAAAACCAAGCATGTTCTGTTTTTTCTTTAAAATGCTTGAATTCTTCTCCTTCTATTCTCTGTAAAGTCACCTCCACGAAGCTTTTCCTGATGCTAAGAGAAGCAGCTGCCCTCCCTCTGTGTTTACAAAGCACTGGACCCACCTCTAGCACAGCCTGTCACCAGGAGGGCTGCCTGAGCATCTGTCCCCCACGGGCTTGTATCTCACTGACCGGACTTCCTGCTCCACCAACCTAGTGTACAGCCCACAGCACCGGCTTCCTCCCCACCAACCTAGTGCACAGCCCACAGCACCACTTCCTGCACCACCAACCTAGTGTACAGCCCACAGCACCACTTCCTGCCCCACCAACCTAGTGTACAGCCCACAGCACTGGCTTCCTCCCCACCAACCTTGTGTACAGCCCACAGCACCACTTCCTCCCCACCAACCTAGTGTACAGCCCACAGCACTGGCTTCCTCCCCACCAACCTAGTGTACAGCCCACAGCACTGGCTTCCTCCCCACCAACCTAGTGTACAGCCCACAGCACTGGCTTCCTCCCCACCAACCTAGTGTACAGCCCACAGCACCACTTCCTGCCCCACCAACCTAGTGTACAGCCCACAGCACCACTTCCTGCCCCACCAACCTAGTGTACAGCCCACAGCACCACTTCCTGCTCCACCAACCTAGTGTACAGCCCACAGCACCACTTCCTGCCCCACCAACCTAGTGTACAGCCCACAGCACCACTTCCTGCCCCACCAACCTAGTGTACAGCCCACAGCACCACTTCCTGCCCCACCAACCTAGTGTAGACTCCAAAGCACCGGCTTCCTGTCTCCACCAAACCCTACTCTGGCATAAAGGCAGACCTGTGATTACGGTGTCCCGCTCTCTGTGTGGGTGCCTTCACAGCTGGACCATGTGTCAGGGCACAGGTGCACTAGGAAGTCTTATTCCTGTTTCTCAGCCAGACCAGGTTATATTCCCTAAAAGGAACCAAGTTTGGCATACCTACAGATAAGGTAAGATGTTAGATTTCGGTGTCTCTCATCTCGCCATTTAAGAAAATCAGTCAGACTCACTCATTACACAAACAGGGATTTCTGCTTCGGGTGTATATTTCCCTGCCTTGTTCTTTGGCTCACAGCAGCATTTCTCGGAGCAGGGCCCCCGGACCACCTGCAGGGCCCCCTCCAGAAGCCTGTTAAAAATGCAGAGCCTGGGCCCCAGCACACATCTACTAAGTCAGAATCCCTGAGGGGTCCCCAGGTAGGCCCACTCAGCCCGCCCCTCCCCAGACCGCAGGCACTTCCTGTGCAGGTGCGGGCTGTGCACGGACATACATGCACAACGCGTGAGCATGCACTGTGAACCTGAGCAGCCCTTATGCAGAGCATCCTAATGCTTCTCATCTTCAGCGCTGTGCCCTTCGTTTGTAAAATGCCGAGGTTCCCGGCTTTCTTTCCTTTCCCTTGACTGTGACATGTATTTTATAGCTCGGGCTCTTGTGTCTCAGGGGAGCCTGAATGAGTGAAACAGATGGGCTCCTCCGACCCAGGAGTCAGAGGCCAGCCGTCAGGTGACCTGCAGAGGGAGCCCTCTCCACAGCTCTCCCTGGGGGAGCAGAGGAGGCTCCCCCGCCCTCCGTGCAGCTTGTTTCAGAAGGTGCTCCCTCTGTCTCTGCTCCTCTCAGAGGTGGCAGGTGGCAGGGAGACGTCAGGGACCGAAGCTGCAAGGACTTTGCAGGCTGTGAGGCAGACAGTTCTTCCACACGCAGGGGTAGGTGGGGTTTCTAGGACTGTATTAAATGAGAAGGAAGAGTGAGGCCGGACAAGGCAGGTTCTTTATATGAAGCATTTCCTACGACTCTAGGTTAGTTAGGGAAGAGAAAGCACGTGTGAGGGGCGAGCGGGGACAGAGAAGCATATAACTGAGAAAGATGAAGTGAGTCTCATCAAAGGGCTCTGCTTCCTAATTACTGTTTAACTGCCTGGGAAGGCCAATTCACTACAGCGCCTACAAGATGAGTCGAGCGGTATTCTTCAGTATCTTGGCCCGCTGTTCTGGGTGGTTCTGACACAGCCAGACCTTCTCCTGGACCATCTTTCTAGCAGGGGGAATGTTTCTGACAGGAGCAGACTGGACCTGGACATCACAGCCTGAATCCCGGGAGGATGTGTGACCACGACCAGGGTCCAGGGCGAGCCTGGGATTACAGCCATCAGCTAGTGCTTACTTATTACAGGTATAGCTCATGCCCATGATTCACCCTGTTGATGATCTGTAACAGGAAAGTCGATGTGAGCAGCATTCCCAGAGCCAGTGACTGTTCCAACCTTTCAGAGCCTGGGGGAGCCCAAACCCAGGGCGGGAAGCGAAATGACAAGTGGAAGCAGAAAGCAAGGCCATGTGCAGGCTCAGGAGAGACACCTGGAGTATGTGAGGACTGTATACAGTAAAAGCTGAGGAGCACCAATGGCTGAGCAAAGAGCATCCAGGCTGGCTCTGGGTTCTGGCTGTAAAGCAAGTGAGAGGTGCTGAAGCCAGAAGCAAAGGTTCAAGCAGGAGTGCTTCCTCCCTGGCATCACAGAGACAGCACAGAAGTTGGTGATACTAGCTGGAATTTAGGAAAAATTCTGCCACCCTTCCAAAGTAAGGTGTTTATTAAGAAAAAGGAGTATCACCTGCATAGCACTCATCTACAGTACCTGATGAATAACAATGAGAGCAGCTAACATTTTCTGAAGGTTGGCCAGACACTCTGTTGAATATTTGGCATACTTAATCCTAACATTTAATCCTCACCGCAACCCTTTGGGGCAGGTACTATAATTATACCCATTTTATAGATGAGAAACTGAGGCTTAGTAAGATTAAGTAACTTGCCCAAGGTTGCACAGGTATTACGTGCTACAGTCAGGATACACATCTGAGCAGTGTGATTCTACAAAGTCTCCTCTTTGCCTCAAAGTTACACCGACTCTATGGTTTAATGGCTAGGGGCTGGAAATGACCAGTTAAAATATCTTAACACATTGCAGACCAGTCGTTTTATTGCTAGCTTTGCCCAGTGGCCAGATAAGTTTCTATTGAACGAGTACAGAAAAAGTTTTACATAAATGTTAAAGGCATGCTTTAAAATTAAATACCCATTGCATTTTGAAGTTATTTATTACATGTTCTTACAAGCTAATATCTTTTTAAAGGATGATACTTTGTAAAACACTGTGGAATATGAAGCGAGAATTCTCATGATCTGTCCTCAATGTGTGAAGCATGGAGCCGGTGTTAGTCTTACAGGTTCACTGTACTTTCCCCCAAATCACACTTGTTTCTCCCGCAGTGTCTTTACTTCCTCCTCCCATTCTGCACCAACCCTGAACAAGTATTTCCCTCCCTCTGTCCACCCAAATGTTCCTCTCCTTGAAAGGCCAATGCCGATTGCTACAATAGATCACAACTGAAGGCTCCCAGACTTCAGCTCACCGTGTTGTATATTTCATTTACCCAACACGATCTTAAGTACCTTAATGAGCTGCATCTTCCCCCACAGACCACGCATGGTGCTTTGCTCAATATTTGTTAGAAGACTGACTGTGAACTGAGCATTTGCTCAAAATAATCCTCTCTAATAAAGAGGGAATATGCTAAGTGACCCTCATGCCATCGCAAAGATGGCAGCACCCACAACCAATAAGGAGGGAATATGCTAAATGACTCCACGCCCTCAAAGATGGCGGCGCCCAGTCCCCTCAGCCCCCCAGCCACCCAGGGCCACCCAAGGCTCAGGTAACTAGGGCCGCCTGAGGCTCAGGTAACCAGGGCTGGCCGAGGCAGTGGCAGCAGCAGAGGTGTGATGGGGTGTCGCCTTCCCCTGATTGCTGGGTCACCTCCCACCCCTGAGGGCTCCCGGACTGTGAGAGGGGGCAGACCGGGCTGAGGGACCCCCACTCCAGTACATGAATTTTCATGCACCGGGCCTCTAGTAATAATAGTAATAAAGATGCATTCAGTAATGGCAGAGGGCAGGGCATGGAAGATGTTTCCTCTTGTGAGTCACAGGATTTAGAAAACATGGGTCCAGCTCTTTTCAAAACAAAGGAAAACTTTTTTTTTTTTGCTTGGGAGGGTAGATGTCACCTCAGGAAGACCCTGGCTATCATTATTTCTCCAAATGCTACCCAAAAAGTCCATTTATATATGAAGCCTGCAAATAAAATCCCTCTTGAGTCTAGATTCCCTCTGCTTCAGTCCCATTTTTCAGGTTCTTAGCATCTCAGGACTCTGTCCTGAACCTGTGCCTGTGGAGTCCTTATGCCTTCCCCCCACCCCCACTGTGCTTCCTTGGCTGATCTTATGGAAACTAGTGCATTTGGAGCCACAACGCAGATCTCAAGTTCAAGTCTCAGATCTGCCATTTACTGGCCATATGACTTGTGCAAGCTACATAACTCCTCTAACCCTTAGTTCCCCCTCTAAACCATCTGTAATATAGAGACAAGTATTTATCCTAAAGGATCATTGTGACAATTGAATGAGATGTTAGGATACAAGTTAGCATAAAGCCAAACACAGATAAGGCATTTAACTCATGGTATCATTATTGTTACTGCAAATTCCTTCTAGCAGGTCGTCTTCTTATAACCTCTGCCCAAGCATCCTCTTGTGCCAGGAATCTTGGTCTTAAACACTCTGGGATCTCCTTAGCTCCCACAGAATGCCCCGTGAAGCCCTTGGAGATTGGGATTAAACACTCATTCATTCTATGCACTAACGCTGCATTTCCAGTCTGAAAGAACCTAAGGGGCTGAGCAGGTGAATGAATCAGGTGTGTGTAAAAGGAATGACAACCAATACTCAGGTCCCACGAGGAACAGGAGGGATGGGGAATGGCTAACTGCAGAGCTCACAGCTGCAGCAGTTCTATAGGGAGAAGGAAATAAGTGAGGAATCTAGATTTATTTAGACCAGTGGTTCTCAACCTTGGCTGCACATTAGAATCACCTGGGAATCTTTTTAAAATCCTGATTTCTGGGCCTCACCCTCCGGAAATTCTGTTTCTTTGTTATGGGGTGAGGCCACAACATTAGTAACAAAGAAACAGAATTTCCGGAGGATGAGGCCCAGAAATCAGGATTTTAAAAAGATTCCTAGGTAATTTTAATGTGCAGCCAAGGTTAAGAACCACTGACTTAGAGGCTCCTCATTGCTGACTGGATGGTAAAGATATTTAAATGTGAGGCAAAACAAAACATTGCCAGCCACCTTTGTCCCTGGGCTGGCAGTTGGTGACCTTTGTTTTAAACACTCCAAACTTGGTTTGGTCCCTGGCTATTCTATATTTGTTGTACCTTCATGCCTTTGTTCTTGCTATTCTCTCTGCCTGGAATACCTGCTCCTAAAAAACTCTCTGACCCACCAAGGTGAAATTAATTGGTTCTGCCTCTATACTTACAAGATGTTTGACATACTTCTCTAATGGCCCTTCTAATATGGTACTGCTGGTCCATTAACTTTTCCCCATTCCCACCGCAGATGAGAGAATTGTGTTTGTTCATCTTTGTAACGGGCAGCACGGGGCTTACTGGTAGCTTACAGTGGGGTATGTTTGACCAAATGTTTGTTTAATGAGTAAGGAAATGAGAGTCCTCTTCTACACTAAAAACCAGAAACTTTGGACACTTACATTTCTCTCCCATTTCCAGACATCTTGAATCCCCCAAAGGGGCTCTGGGCGTTTAAGGCATTGTAACAATTGATCCTGAAAGAAGAAAACAGTGCTACTGTTAGTGTGAATTCTGCTCACACAGAAATAATCCCACAGGCATGATACCTCTTTTGTAAGTTTTATTTTTATTTCCTTTGTTCCAGATGGAAATTTATAATTCACTTTGATTTCCTGATCTAGCCAGTAAAGACTGCACTTCCTCTCAGGGTGATGTCTGCTGTTGGAGCCTTCCCCATCCTTCCAGAGGACACGTGTACTTCACCCAGGCTCTGGAGAATGGCAAGGCCCCTGTACCACCCCTGGAATGTGTTATGGCCAGAATGATGACACAGACGGATCTTACCAAACAGTCCCAGCTTGCATTGCAGAAGACACTGTGAGGGCCTTGTTGATGTCATTGGTAAAGACAGCAGCTACGAGTCCGAAGTCGGAGTTATTGGCTCTTTCGATAACTTCATCCATCGTCTTAAACCTCAGAATTTCCTGAACGGGGCCAAAGATCTGCAACAAGATAGTTTGACTCAACATCGTTGCTATGCTGTTCCTTCGCCTGCTCTCCACATTTCAACGAAAGTGTTCTCTGCCTTTGTTATTTAAATAATGTTTACATTTAGCAGCACAAAATGAAAATATCCCAAACTCTGCAGAAATAGATTACACAGGAGTCTATCCTTAGAGTGTGTTTGATGCCCCATGCCCCACCCTCCCTGAGGTCACTTGGTCCCACTGTGTCAACTCGGCTGTGCTCTGAGCCCGGGCAGAGCCAAGGAGGCACTGATCGGGCTGCTGGCTGACCTGCCTGGTCCCTCTGCTGCATTACTGTGAGGACGCCTGGACGCCTTTCCTTTCCTGCGTAACAGCCTGGTGACCCCACAACTGGCTCTTCTGATTATTCCGTTGGCTAATAACAACTGCAACCATGCAATACTTCCCTGCCTTTTTAACTTTTTTCTTAAAACAGAGACTTGCATAGCCATCTTTATTGCTATAGTACAATATATACAAAATAGAAAACGTGAATATTATTGAACTAGAAATGCTCTGGAAAACATGCCAAAATGTTAGAATCCCGTGTTTGATACCTCCTCCTTGGCAATGCGCATGTCATCGGTCACGTTGGAAAACACTGTGGGCTCGATGAAAAACCCCTTCCGGCCCAGCCCCTTGCCTCCGCACTCCAGCTTGGCGCCCTCGGCCACACCGCTCTGGATGAGCTCCAGGATCTTGTTGTACTGCTTCTTATCAATCTACAGACAAAATTGCCGAGTGACTCCAAGTAAAATCTTTCATAAAAACGGAAATAAGCATGTTCTCAGGAATCATTTGTCTTTTTAAAAAAGCTTCATCATATCTAGTCAAATCATATGGGATACTATTATTTAAATATTTTTTATCCATGGAAAATGGCAATTTGGTTCAAACAAACATATCAAGAATTCCAATAAATGAATGGCTCTGATACCACTGAATCAGATGATACCACTGAATCAGATATACCAGTTTAATGTTTAAACAACGTTTCTAAGTGGTGGAGACACTGGTGAATTGATTATTCACTGTGTGGAGGAAAATGAACTTCTATAGCCAAAATGAAGAGTTTAGCAAGTTGTACTGATACTAAAAAGATGAAAACAAGAGATGAGCTAATACAACCTCTTTACCTCAAATTTTATTGGGGTAAATTTTTAATGGAATGTTCCACCTTTATAGAAAAGGGTTAAGTTTAAAGAGTGAGGGCTAGCTTCTTACGCCATAAAATAAGGTCAGTCTTGCTTTCCAAAAGTTATAGGCTTATCACGCAAGTATTATGGTAAATAATATAAAAACTGACATTCATCTGAGTTTCAAATGCTCAGCTAGAACATCAATCTGTTCTCAAATGGCCCCAAAACTGAGAAGGTGTTGATTCTTATTAGAAAAACCCAGGCTCTAGTGGCCCAGATCTGGTCCATGCATTCTTTACAAATTCTCAGCCTCTGTCTACAGTTTAAAGCCAGAACTCCATCTGGAAATACGCCGTGATGCCCGTGGAAAGTCTGAGCGCTAAGGAGAGCAGCTGCAGGACTCTCGTGGCCTCCCCGTCCACCACAGCGCACGAGGCACTCAAGAGTGAGAGACATCCGTACGGTCTTCATGTCCAAACATTCACAATCTACAAATGGTCTCCCCAAGCACATCAGCGTGGTGGAGAGAGCCCTTTGCAGCTGGGAAAAGATAAATGGCTTCTGAGAATGAGAGAGGCCCCGCCGCCTTGACTGCGGCCTCTACAAGGATGTCTGAAGTCCGTGGTCAGGGCTGGGGCTGGGTTCTCACGGCAAGATCCACCTTGTCACGACCAGGTCTTCCTTTAGGGCTGAGCGACTCCAACTTACCCCCGAAGTTGAGAGTATCCTTAAGGCAACTCTAATCCTTTCGTTTTCCAGAAATAAAATTTAGAAATGGAAAGAGAATCTAAGACATAAGCAATGCCTCACTGACCACACTTCCAGCTGTGAAGGCAGCGGGATAAAGGAAGGTGGTGCTTTGCTGGGTCCCACTAAGTGACCAGTTTCTGTGCTCACCAGGGATAAAGTAAAGAAAGGGCCCGGCCGGTGTGGCTCAGTGGTTGAACATCGACCATGAACCCAGGAGTTCACGGTTCAATTCCTGGTCAGGGTATATGCCTGGATTGTGGGCTTGATCCCCGGGGGTCGGGGGGAGATGTGCAGGAGGCAGCCAATCAATGCTTCTCTCTCATCATTGATGTTTTTATCTCTCCCTCTCTAAAATCAGTATTTTTTAAAATGTAAAGAAAGGGATGGTTGCCCTGGCCGGCTTGGCTCAGTGGATAGAGCGTCGGCCTGCGGATTGAGGGGTCCCGGGTTCGATTCCGGCCAAGGGCACATGCCTGGGTTGCGGGCTTGGTCCCCAGTGGGGGGCGTGCAGGAGGCAGCCAACCAATGATTCTCTCTCATCATTGATGTTTCTATCTCTCTCTCCTCTCTTCTTCTCTGAAATCAATAAAGAAATATATTAAAAAAAAAAAAAAAAAGAAAGGGATGGTTCATGATTTCTCTACCTGGGGTCCCTGCTCAGTGGTGGGGTCAAAGGGACTCCCCACTATGCGCCTCTTGGCCCGCTCCACGCTTCTCCTCACAAACTCCTCGTAGATGGATTCCTCCACGAAGATGCGCGAGCCCGCAGTGCAGCACTGGCCTTGGTTGAAGAACACGCCCTGGTGAGCCTGCTCCACGGCGTGATCCACTGCAAGAGGAAAGGCACGTTCCCAGCACTGCCTCACCTGTGAGGGGCTGTCCGGGAGCCGCCCCCCTGCCCGCCCTCCACCCCCCCTCCCCCAACACACACACAGCCCAGGCAGTGTCAGGCTGCCCACAGGGCACAGGGTGAGTAACTGTGAGAGCACTGGACTGAGAACGCAACTTAGTTGTTGTTCTAATAGACCCTGATGTTACTGGCTGTGTTAACTTGGGCATCTTCACCTCTTTGAGTCCCAAACCCAAAGGGGTTGGCAGATAACGTAATGGTATGAGTCTGCCAGGTAGTAAAACAATGTGAGGACACTGGGAAGGAAAGCCACTGCGTTTGGTTGTTGCTCTGCATGGATCTAAGCCCATGGTTGCCAGATTTCCAATTTTAAGGAAAAACAGAAATCAATACTTTTAAAGCACAGTTTTTGTTTTTTTAAGCACTGTGTAATACCCAGATTCTAAACATAGTTAGACCGGCATTTGGCCTGTGACTGCCAATGTGCAGCCCCTAATCTATAGGGCCTTGTGGCTGTTATGTTTAATTAGTATTTTGGTGGATTTAACTGTAATAGCAATGGCTTTTCTTTGAAGACATCACATTTCCTCTATTTTTACAGGGATTTGTATAATAGCCTGTGATAACGCTTTCATTTTCATCTCTTATATTTCAAGATAGAATTAAATCTGGTGTGTGCTAGCTGCTAAATGACTGAATCAATCCATCAACGTCACGTCAATGAAGTGCCTACTCCTCGGGAGGATTTAGCTGTAAGAATTCTGATCCCCTGGCATCTAGTATAAAACTGAAGCTGAACTCCTTGCACATTCCCAGCTGGGGCTGGAAGGCAGGCAGTCTGCTCCCTGTGCAGAGTGAACCATTCAGTATCCTGCCTGGAGACATGGGGCTCCCTAGGCTACTGCTTCAAGCCTCCCTAAAGCCCCACTGTCAAGGCGTAATCACCTCCAATTTGGGTCTATTCACACAGAGCTGACCACCGTGTGTTGTCATCCTGATTGAGTGTCACGGAGCAACAGAAAGGGGTTGGGATGACCAAACAGAGGAGAGGCTGTGGATTTGGAAACATGTTGGCTAGTGAAGAATTTTCTAAATGAACTACAAAGCCACCAGGCAGGGAGTTCAGACTTCTTGAAACTAGGCAGGGAGGTTCTATTTCAGGTGTTCAGATGTGTAGCCCATTGGTCTTTCTACTGTATAGCGCTGCCCAAGCCTTCACCCCTGCCACCCTATTCTACACATCACAAGGTCAAAATGGCTTATTAGTGTCTAGAAAACAAATCCTATTCAGTTCCACATTGATAAGCGCTCTTTTCCTATATTAAACTGTTTTCCCCTTAGAAGGAAGAGTCCAGATTCTTCTTGAGTGCCCCTTAGCTTCAAAGATCTTTTTCTCAAAAGCTAAAGGAGTTCATCACCACCAAACCAGTATTACATGAAATGTTGAAGGGTATTATTTAAGCAAAAGAATTAAAAAAAGACGGGAAAAAATGATCAAGGTTATGAACAATAAAATGGCAATAAATATACACCTATCAACAATTGAATCCAAAAGTCAAAATAAATGAACAAAATAAACTGATGAATAAAATAGAAACAGAGGCATGGACACATGGAACAAACTGACAAATCTCAGAGGGAAGGGGGGATGAGGGTGGGGGGCGGTGAGATTTATAGGGAACTTATATGCATATATGCATTACCTATGAACACTAGTAATAGAGTGGTGGTGAAGGCCTGGGGCAGGGCAGGAACCAGACGGAGGGGGGCAATGGAGGGGAAAGAGGGGGACATTTGTAATACTCTCAACACTGAAGTTTTTTTTGTTGTTGTTGTTTGTTTTAAGGGAGATAGGAGAGAGCACCGAAGGGCATGTGCTGGAACACGTATGAGGCCTGTGGTTGACTTACAATCAGCATCTGCAAAAATAATATTGGGACTTTTCCCTCCAAGTTCCAGAGTTACTCGCTTCAAATTACTTCTTCCAGCTGCTTCTTGGATAAGCTTTCCAACCTGAAAGGAAATGAAGAGAAGTTTCGCACACTGTGCATTGAGATGGTCAGTGTCCTGAGCCAGCTCCAGGCAACAGTGGCAGGCAGCAGGAATGGACTCTGCAAAGCAAACCCACCCACTGCTGACACAGGAACAGCTCCTGTGGTCAACTTGTGTGGACAAGATATAAGTTAGTGCCTATGCAACTAGGAAGCTGTCAGCTCCTTCAGAATCTGCCTCAGCTAGAAAGAGCTCTCTTGCCCACTGGGATACCTTCCCCTGGGCATCCCACACCACCCACTGATGGGGCAGGGGTATAAAGGCCTGCCCTCTCAGCCTACCGCAGGCCAACTCCGCAAGACCATATATGCTCAGCCAGGCCACCTATGGTTGGCTGAGGCCGTCAGGCCTGCACTGCAGCTAGGCTTCCCCTGTGTCCACCCCCCTTCAGTGGGGAAACCTGATAAACAGCCTGCACGTCAAACCCCACCTCAGGGTCCTCTGGAGAACCTGACCAGTAAGGGCGCCACTCTCCTGGAGGGCAGAGGTCACTTTATGGAAAGCGCTGAGACACCATGTAGGCAGTTTGCTCTAGTTGAGATGAGAAATGCTACCTGTGCCTGGATCCACAGAAAATTAAGTATTTTGAAAGCCTGGAGAAAAGAAATGCTGAATTTAGGTTGGATTCCTCCAGCCGCTTGTTGAGATCCTCAAGCAGGACTAGTAATTCCTCGAGCAGTGTCGAGACACGGCTAAGAGCAGAGGCTCTGGGGCCTGAGTTTCTTTTACTGATTCTATCACTTACTGTTTGACCTTGGGAAATTTATTTACCTTCTCTGAGCCCCGGGTTCCCTCCTCTGTAAATGAAGCTAAAAACAGTATCTGGTGGGTGGGCCGGAAGAGATCAATCGAAGAACATGTATGCATGCATGCATAACCCATGGACACAGACAATAGGGTGGTGAAGGCCTGGGTTGGGAGGTGGGCTGGGCTAGAAGGGATCAATAGGGGGGGAAGGGACATCTGTAATACTTTCAATAATAAAGATTTCAAAAAAATCAATGGGAAAAATAGCACAGTATCTGCCTCAGAATTTAGTTGTCCTGAGCAGCGGTTGCCAACCGGTAGTCCACGGAACACTGGTGGCCCATGAGGTTTGAAAGGTTGGCGACCGCTGGTCCTGAGGATTAAGTGATGTAAAATAGCTGGGCCTGAGAACCCATATGCAGGCGTGGGGAGCCAGGGACCCTCTCCCTCTTCCTCTAGTGCAGAGGAGGTGGTGATGGTGCAGGAGGGCCCCAGACGCTCCATAGCAGGTCTCATCCTGCATCTCCAGCCTGTCCATGGGCATCCACTGTTTTGGGAATGCTGTGGAAGGTCTGGGACCTCCCGAACCATCCCCTCCTCCTCTGGATTAGCCGGCTTAAATGCTTTGTGGTTGTAGTCTAACTCCACCTCATGGCAAAAGTTTTAGAACATACACTCTCCTTCTGAGGAAACCCGACCTTGGGGAACAAACAGCGATGTCTCTGAAAGAGGTAAAATTAGAGCCTCTTCGTTCGTGGAACAATGTTAGTTAAGGGGTTGAGAAATGCCTATGTCTGACCCTAAAGATGAATGGACAGACGCCAGACCACCAGCCACACTGCTCCTTCCCTGCCTCGCCAGCTCGTCTCTTCTGCGACGAGGTAAACTCCCTATGAAGATGGGCTAACAAAGGCCCCGTTCTCAGGCAGACATGCTCTGCCTCTTTCTAGAAGAAAATACGAGTACACCAAGGAGAGGCGGGTCGGCCCTCTATTCCAGGGACCGACAGTGGTGGGAATCATGACGGAGAGCTAAGGCCTCCCAGGAGAGGGAAGCAGCACCCACAGGCAGCTGGGTAGCAGCATCAGGGGCATCCCCAGGAGGCTGTGTCTACAGCTGCCTGTTCTGAGGCATTTCAGTGTGTGTGGCTCTCCCGGCACTGAGGAAACCATATTAATTGATGGCGACTCATTGCAAAGTCCAGAAAGATAGACAAGTGCTTTCTCAGAGGAAATAATCACTGCAGTCATGAACGTCATGACTCACTGTATTAAAAAACTAACATTTATTGAGTTAATGTAAGACATTTACATGCATTCACTCATTTAAGACTCTCAAAGCCCCTAAAAAGTAGGTACTAAATCATTTTAAAGGTGAGAAAACTCAAGAGTTAGACATCAATGGATGTTACTCGGTTACCCAGCTGGTTCTGGGCAGACCCTGTTGAACTCTATGAAGGCTGAATCCAGAGCACAAGTATGGCTCTCGCCTTCTCCTTCCCTCCCTTCCCCCAACACTCTGCCCTGGCTGCCTGCCTGTCTGTGCATACTGAGCACCTAATGTGTATCTCCTCCTCCCCAAAATCTCAAACTCCAAACTAATTTCAAAGTGAGTAGAAATTTCACCTTTTGTAGACACAAAAGATGATCTTAAATATTCTGCTTGACATTTGACATTTTTTAAAATAAGCAAAAGCCAAAAACCATGGATTTTATACAGTGTAAGACATTAAATAAGTGTTTGGAGTTGGTAAAGAGAGTGCTGGCCCAGCGGGCATTATGTTCTGTTAGCCCTATCCCTGACCTTCCTCAAACCCTCTGTGGGTTGATATATATATTTGCCACTGTGAATGTTGTCCCATGATTATTTTCATGGCTACAGTAACTGCACAAAAATCTTGCTCAGTCTATGGTCATCAGAGAAGAACACCTAAGCATAATTTTTCCTGTGTCAATGCTTTGCTAGCCTTTTCTTAGAAACCAAATTCGTGCTAAACACTGCAAGGCAAATCTCAGATGAATAACGAATGTCTTTCCTTTTCATCTTTGGAAGAAGGTCAAGCTGTAGCCCAGCCTCAAGAAAGAACTGGGTGTGTTAGGCAACGGGAGAACCACTTCCATCTGGAGTGGCCTCAGGACAGGATACCAATCTCCTTCATTCAGACACAGATTTCTGGCTCTCCTACTGTGTGCTGGGCACAGTCCCTAGCAACAAGGAACTCCCAGCTAAGAGAACTCCCATGTAAACCTAGCAGGTGCTCAATAAGTGCAGTTTTTCAGACCACTTAAAGGAAAATCTGAGTATGACTTAATATTAGATCTGAACAGATGAAATATGGTTCTGCAGCTCTTCGTAGTAAGACAGATTCAGACCTCTCTGGCCCTTACCCATAGAATGGCCAGGATGCAATAACCTTCATTAATTACGGAATCAAGTATCATGTGCCTTCCCATGACATGCTCAGTTTCCAGGTCAAACTCTTTGGAGAATATATTGCTACTCATGAATCCTCCCTGCCAGGGGAGCGAGAGAGGTTCAGTGACCCCAAACAGGAGGCACGCCTCATTGTCATTTCCATGAGGGGGAAGAGGCCATGGAAGGAGAACAGATGCAACTCAAAGCAGGGGCTTCTTAATAGGAAAGACTAATGTTTAAAAACAGTAAGTTCAAGTGAGAACTGACTCTGTGTCTGCTTACAAAACACAATAGGTCTTATGCAAACCAACCTAAACCATTACTTACACAAATACCATGCAAGGGTTTCCCAAATTAAAATCTAGGGGGTTAGAAAGTCTAAGAACAAATGAAATATAGACATCCAACCAAGGCCCTGGATTCACTGGGCCACCTTAGATGGAAAAGTAATACGGAGGCTTGCTTGGGGATAGGTGCTACACTGGCCATACTGAACCCTTTCATGCGTGATCAGAAGGTGGAAGGACGTGGTGGGATAGACGAGGCTGCAAGGGTGCTCGGGTCTTCTGAGTGGTTAAGTCAATAGGGATGGACCAGAAAACCAAGCCCCATTCTGATCAAATAGGTAATCTGTGCGGTGAAACAGATACACATATAGTTTGGGAAACATACAGTATGGGAAGATAGATTAAACAGGATAAAGGCACAGAGACCAAAATTTGAGTCCAGCATTATCTTTTATCCCCAATCAGCAAAGATTTCACAATCTACTCTTCTTATACCTCCTGCCCTATCTCTGATGGCCTGGCTAATTATAACCATGCTCAGGTTTGTGGACTACAGTTTGGCCCATAGCAGTCGGAAGACCGACGTACTGCAAACTCTGGCTTGGCCCCTAACTCACCTTCAATTTGGGAAAGCCACTTCAGCCCCTTGGGCCTCCGTTTCTTCATCTGACAAATGGAGGCACAAGCCAAGCAGTTAATCTGTCCCTTCGCTCTCCGGATTGTTTGAAGAGATAAGCAAAGACCCAGAGGGCTCCTGGAGCCCTGCTCGATCTGAGTCTGTCCCCAATTCTTCTGCATTCCTCCCGCCTTGTGGAGCAGAAATAGCTTTTCATGGAAGCGCCACCGCTGCACTGAATGGGAGGAAAGTCTGGCCTTTTTTTCGTTTTTCACATAGAGCTTATTATGGAAAAGTGACCGTGTTCCTATCAGGCGCTTTCCTAACTTCCCACTCCCTGCAGAGTCTCCCAGCTGTATCCGTGTACCCCAAACAGGCCAGGGCAGGGCACTGGGGCTCCCCCACACATAAGGGAACTGGGCTAATTCTCAGCAGGAATGTTGGCACAGATCAACTCTGACTCCCATCCTGGTTTTGAATAGTCCTCGAGATTGATATCAGGAGCATCGCTGGACAAGCCACAATGTGCCAGAATCATGTCCACAGCAATGCACAGGGTAGGAAATGCCACTTGGCATTTTGCACGGAAACTGATTTATTACACAGGATAAAAGAGAACGCGATGGCGCTCCCTGCCCTTTATTCAAGGCTGCTTCTCCCTGAACAGAGTTCCTAAAGTTGGGTGAATTTTTTCTTTTTATTAATTACCCATATCGGGATGGGTTTCTTCTCAGAGGTATTTCTTTTTCTTGATTAATGACTTGTGCATATTAGGGTGAATTCCTTCTCAGAGATATTCCACCCTTTGTAAAAATAAAAAATTCTCTAGTCAAGAGCTCGACAAACTGGTTGAAGATGCCTGCTTTCTGCAGTATGTTTTCATTTCTTAAACCTCC